ATTTCACAACTTTGGTTGTGTTTGCTTGTTTTTTAAACAGGTATTCTGCTGTAAATGAAATCAACAAGATCCAGGCAAATAAGGACCGTATCTTGGTCTATTTCATCACAAAACTCTCCCGGATGGGAAGTGCAACGTCCTATGTGGGATTCCATGGAGGTAGGACCAAAATGTTAGTGAAGATATTTATTTAAGTAGAGTTTGCATTACTTCTAATTTGGTCCTATGCTGTGCAAGTCTACAATTAGAATATTAACCTCAGTATTCTTTTTACATGTAATTAGATTTCTTACCACTAATTACTGCAAAAAAACACTGATCTTTGGACTTGATGCTACAACATAGAGAATTTCCTTGCTTTTACTTGTAGATAAACACTTGATTATTCTCTCTGGTTTTATTATATGGATATTGCGGAGAAGATATTCCCGACTGGCACTCATTGTGAATGCATTGATAGTTTATGTCTATTTCTGGCGATGGGGGAGGAAATGCTATCTTAAAATCCCTACCTTTTTTGAGGAATGGGCCACCATAAGAAAAGTGGTAATCCAGAAATAGGAACATGACAGTTTACTGTAATAATTTTACAGAAATAATAATGGGGGGCAAGCCTTGCAGTGTCTCACTCACATTTATTAATTATGATACAGCAAATAGAATAATAGAGGCATAAAATAACAATAAACTTTATTCAGGTACCCTTTACAAGTCAGTCAGTTCAGTTCTTAAAACCGATTTCCATGTTAGGCTGTTCATGGCAACAGTAAGTAGCTCAAGGGTTTAGATGTGGGACACAAGTCACTCCCTCAGCAGCAGGACACATGCAGCATGTCCGTGCTCATGACCAACAAGAGGACCTCTGAGGGGACCTGACCAGACGCTGGGGGGCTTTGTGCTCACAGGGCTGTGGCAGTCTGTGCACATCGACGACCTCCGCAGATCCACTATCATGGTTTCCGACGTGACTAAACTGCAGGAGGTCTCCATCAGCCAACTGTTCAGGCCGCAGGACAAGCCTGAGGGTGAGTCCTGACTTGAGGTCTCTGGGGACGCAGGACGGTGGATGTGGTCCGACAGGCAGTGCCGAGGGTGCTGCAGTGCACTGTGGGCGGGTGCTGGCGAGCAGGACCACCCGGCTGAGTGCCCTCTGGCTCCCAGCACCTGTCCTGTAGCAGGAGCTCAGTCCACCCAGAGGTGCCTCAGAAGAAAAGGCCTTTGCTGAGTGACCCGTCTGGCTGCTCCCAGGCAGAGAGGATGTTTCACGTGGAATCGCGGATCTTTTTTCAGACACCTACGGAAGGTGTCTAAAGGTGCTCTTTGTCTGGGCTTCTGCATCAGAGCCAAGGGCAGGAGTAAGGGGTGGCCACCAGTGAGCCACGCTGTGGGTGAATTTGGGGCTCATCTGTATAACAAACATCGCTGCATTTGGGAGCCCCACTGGCACGAGGTAGCAGGGCATGCCTGCAAAGGTAGCCCTGAAGCGCACACACTCACAGGAATTGCTGCTGGTGCTGCAGCCGTCACCTTCTGAAGAGTACGCTGACTGCCTTTGTTCCCACTGCAGTCGAGACGGGAGTGGGGGCAGAGGACCACGCCGAGGACGAGGAGATGGAAACAGAGACGAAAGGACCAGGGGACACGGCAGAGGTGGAAACAGAAAGCTCTGAGGGGATGGAGAGTGAAGCCTCTGGGCTGGGAAGCAGTGAGGTAAGCGCCAGCTCTCTAGGCCTCCCAGTGCCCTGCTCGTGATGCTTTTGAACTGTGTCTTTGTAATTTTCCAGCC